GGTTTAAAACTGAAGGTGCAGGCTAGGCATGGTGGCACATGCCTATCATTCTAGTGGCTCTGCAGGCTGAGGCAGGAGGATTGCAAGTTCAGTCAGCAATTTACCAAGACTCTGTCTCAAAAAAATTAAAAGGACAGGGGATGTCGCTAATTGTTGAGCTCCCCTGGATTCAATTCCTGGTGCACAAAAACAGACAAACAAAAAATTGAAGGTGCAGAATTGTGCCTATTTGTTTTGTTCTTTTCTTACATTCTGTTATCTAGACTTTTTTTTTTTTTAACTTGCTGGGTTATTGTTCTTCCATGGAAATATAGCAATTGGAATTTTATGTCAACATGTAGCTTTGTTTTTCTTTGACCTGTTAATTATTAAAGTTAGGAAGGAAGCATGATGTGAAAAGAGCATAAGTTTTTCAAGTCAGGGCTAGATTCAATTTCTAGCACTTCCACCTACAGGAAATCCCACATGTGGATCTTTGGCAAGTACTTAACCTCTAAGACTTCTGTTTCCTCATCTGTAAAATGGCAAAGGTAATACAGGTTCACTATCCCTTATCCTAAATCCCTGGAACTAGATGTGTTTTAGAATTCAGAATTCTAGGGATCTATAGAAGGAGAACACCCCAGCAGGGTGTGGGGCCTGTAGCATGTAATCAGACACCTTAATATTAAATATGAATAATTGCAAATGATGGGATAAGTAAAAACTATAAATAGCCTCACATTAGTTCTATTCAAATATTGCCATCAAATGAGTTCAGAGCAGGTAAGGTTTTGACTCCAAATAAGTTACAAAAACACTTTCGGTTTTCAGAGCTTTATGGATATCGGAATTTCGGATAAGGGATTATGGATCTGTACTTCCCTCATAGGGTTGTTATGAAGATTTAAACAAGATAAGCCGAAAACACATTACACAGTGCTGGGTAGGTACTCAATAAATATTAATTTTTTTTGCTCTTGGAGATGTTAGAAGTTTTTGTTTGTATTTTAATTTATAATTTTGAGATTGTCATTTGGTTCTGAAGGAACTATTTTAATTTTGCTAAAATTTAATGTTGTGATTAGAGGTGGAATAGAGGCTGAATTCTTGAGAATGCAGGAGTTGGAATGACAATTATAGGTAAGGCTTAGAGCTTGAATTACTAAACAGTCTGGATTTCTATCATGTAGGTTTTCAATATAACTATTGGCTGAACTTAAGTGGTTGGGAAGTCATGCTGTAACTTCTCTAGAATCCTAAAAGGACACCTGTGACCTTTTTGTCATTGTTTCTTGGTCTACAGAGTGATAGGAGGAAGTCCAGGCACCATCATGACTCGGATGAGAAAACAGAAACAAGAGAAAATGGTGTCACAGATGACCTGGATGATGCTCCCAAGCCCAAAAAAGCTAAAATGAAAGAGAAGTTAAATGGAGACACTGAAGAAGGATTTAATAGACTTTCAGATGAATTTTCTACATCTCATAAGTCAAGGAGGAAAGATCTACCAAATGGAGATATTGATGAATATGAAAAAAAATCAAAGCGAGTATCATCCTTAGAAAGTTCTACTCATAAATCAAGTGATAATAAACTAGAGGAGGTATGGATACTTTTAATTTTGCATTTGACATTATCCTTGAAATACAGACAAATGTGATGTTTTAAATTAAGAAGAGTTGATTCTATATTTCTTGCTTAGTACAGACTCTAATCCAAATGAGAGATCTATACAGCTGAAATCTGAACCTTTTTTCCTTTGGCCCTTGTTTCTTTTATTGTATTGTCATTTTTATTGGGTGGAAATAGAGGAATGCTCAAACTTACACTTTTTCTGTACATTTGGGTTCCTAAACAGTTTTTCCAAATTATTGATAGTCACCTACTTATTTCTTATGGTTCTTTCAGTCCCTGTCAGTACTGGGGCATGGACTTTTGACTTCCTGAAACAAGGTACAGAAGGCCTTTTGACTTTGTGTATTTTGCCTTCTTTTTTCTGCTTTTGAAACAGTAGCAACTTTAGATGATCTTTATGTCTTACTGTAACTTTCTGTTAAAGTCATTTGCATTTTTAAAACTAGAATTAAACATGAAAATGATCTGAAGAAATCTGTTCTTCTGGCTATTACATTTTGAGGAAGTGTAATAAACATGCTTAAGTATAGAATTTGCATTCTTGAACCTCCTGCTTTTATCAGTACCTGTTAAAGCAGTTATTTTCTTGGGCAGAATTTGTTAAAAGTGTCTCACAGTTTTCCACTGGGAGTTCAAAAGCTGATCTAGGTGTTATAAATTGTCAAGAAATTACTTAGGTCTTCAGAATGAAACAATGTTGATATTCTTGCTTTTTGATAATAATTTTTAAATTTGATAATAGCTGGTAATTTAATTTAAGTAAAAATTTTTAAAAAATCTCTGTTGTGGAGATCAAATGCAGGGGTATGCACTGAGCTTAACTTAACCTAGAATCCTCAGGTATTTGGGGAAAAAGATGTTGACTCCTTGTTTTTACTATATGGTGTTTTTTTTTTTTTTTAATATTTATTTTTTAGTTGTAGTTGGACACAATACCTTTATTTTATTTTATTTACTTATTTTTATGTGGTGCTGAAGATCGAACCCAGGGCCTCACACATTCAAGGCGAGCACTCTGCCACTGAGCCCCAGCCCCAACCCCAGCCCCTATATGGTGTTTTAATTTGTATATTTGCTATTTGTCCAGAAGCATGTATGTTAATTTAGTAAGGCTCCATAAATCTATATTGGTAGTAGTGGAATAAACAGATTGTTTTTTGATGTATTGGGGTTTTTGTTTGTTTGTTTGTTTTAGTTGCAGATGGACACAATACCTTTATTTCAGTTATTTTTATATAGTGCTGAGGATCAAACCCAGTGCCTCACATGTGCTAGGCAAGCGCTCTACTATTGAGCTACAACCCAGGAGCGCTTAATCACTGAGCCACATCCCCAGCCCTTTGTATTTTTTATTTTGAGGCAGAGTATTGCTATGTTGCATAGATCCCTGCTAAATTGGTGAGGGTGGCTTTGAACTTGCAATCTTCATGCCTTAGCCTCCTGAGCTACTGGAATTATAGGTGTGCATCACTGCTTCTGGCTCTATTGGGGTTTTGCTTGAAATCATTCTCTGTATTATAATAGGCTTAACTGTCTATTGTTTCTGTTTTAGATCATAGATTTCAGGAGTTCTGCTTTTAGGAATTTATCCTAAGGAGGTAATTATGAGGTGTCCATAGCTGTATGAATAAGTACTCTTATCACCGGGATATTATAGATATTGGGGAAAGTTTTAAATATTCTAAATGTCTAGTAGTGTCTGGTAGTAGGCAATTGGTTTAATAAAATATGCTATGTTTACAGAATAGAATGCAGCTATCCCAAAGGGTATATAAGAATGTTAGAAAGATATTTCTTTTTGTTGAAAAGATAAAAAGCAGATTTTAAAACACTGTATAAAGTATGGTCTTTTATTTTTAAAACTTAGTATGCATAGACTGAAGATTGGAACATGTTTCAAATGTAGTTTTAACTGACTGGATTATCGGTAATTTAAAAATTTATGTTTGTGCTTTCTGAAATTTCTAAAATGAAAATACATAACTTTTAAAAATTTTCTTTTAATCTTGAAAGAGAACAGTATTGTTGTTTATGTAAATGGCCCACAATTTGAATTTGATATTGTCTTTTATCTGGTTCTTAATTTGAAAACTGCTATTATGTGGTTCTGTAACTACTTTCTTTAAACGTAAAAATAATCAAGTTTACTGGGTCTTTGTTCTGTATACACATTGGTACACAGAGTTTTTGATAGATGTTAAGTGATAATGTTTTACTCATCTATATTTATGTTAAAGAAATTCTTAAGCTTATAGAACTTTTCCCTGAATTAATGACCTAGGGGAGAAAAGTCCTTTTTTTTTTTTAAGTTGTAGTTGGACACAATATCTTTATTTTATTTATTGATTTTTATGTGGTGCTGAGGATTGAACCCAGAGCCTTGCAGGTGCTAAGTGAGCACTCTACCACTGAGCCACAACCCCAGCTCAGAAAAAGTACTTTTTAAAGCCATAGAACAAATTAACTATTTTTGGAAAAAGTTTTAATTTCTCATTGTATAATTTCTTCTTTTATCTTAGTATATAGACTGTATTAATTTTCATAGTTAATATTATCTATAAGTGTGATTTAGATTATTAAGTAACTTGTAATATGTTATCAAATGGAAAAATATTTTGATCTATGTAGTAGACATTTCTAAAGGGAACTTTATGGGTTGAATTAAACATTTTAAGATGTTTTACTAGGAAAATGGATTAAGTAAGCTTGCCATCTAAAGGGATACTTTTGAAATGAAAAGAATCTCCTACTTTTTTTTTTTTTAATGACTTTATTTATTTTATGTGGTGCTGAGGATTGAACCAAGTGCCTCACAACATGCTAGGCAAACACTTTACCACTGAGCTACAGCCACAACCTCCCCTCCTAATTTTTAAGTTAATCTGTATAGGTTTTTGCAAGTACTAACTGAAGTTAATTAGGTAGCTTGCTTAGTAAAATGGTAAATAAGTAAAAGTTGAACAAAAACTATATTATTTAAAAAAACTATATTATTTAGAACTTTTATTTCCTTTTGACAGACGCTAACACGAGAACAGAAAGAAGGAGCTTTCTCCAATTTCTCTATTTCTGAAGAAACTATAAAGCTTCTGAAAGGTACTATGAATTTTAATGGATATGCAACTGGAATCTATGACTGTATTTTATAAAACTCTTGTGCCTTTTTTTTACCAAATAGAGATTATAAAAAAGAAATAGCTCCTTTTAAATTGTAGTTTACTTCATCCTTTTCAGTATTGATAGTTTTTTTTTTTGATTAGTATCTTTTTTTAACTTGTTCTTTTTATGACAGTAGAGTATATTTTGATGTATTTATAGAAACATGGAGTATATATTATTCTAATTGTCATCCCAGTCTTGTAGTTGTTGTGATCTGTTTTTAATCTTAATTGTTATATGTATTTGTCAGAAGTTCAGACTAATTTTGTTATAATTTCTGTTTAGAGTAGGAATAACTGTAAATGGTACTTGGTTGTGTATCTTTAGCCAGACATGGAGAAAGCAGGATTGTTGTTTTCAAATGAATATTTTTTTTTCCTAATACTAGTCTTAAAGAAATATTTTGGAAATCTCATTTTACAGGTCGAGGGGTAACATATCTCTTTCCTATTCAAGTTAAGACCTTTGGCCCTGTATATGAAGGAAAAGATTTAATTGCACAAGCTCGGACAGGAACAGGAAAGACATTCTCTTTTGCCATACCCTTGATTGAAAGGCTCCAAAGAAATCAAGAAACAACTAAAAAAAGCCGCTCACCAAAGGTAATGGTTGTAAGAGAGGAAAAGCTCTAAACATTACTTATTGAAAACGGACAGAGAGATTATAGTTGTCTTTTTTTTTTTTTTTTTTTGCTCCTGGTATTAGAGATCTAACCCCAGACCTCATGCATGCTAAGCTCACACTTTTCTGCTGAGCTATACCCCCAGTCCTGAAAGAGCATATTAGTCTTAAATACAGGTACGTTTCAGGGAAAATTAAGCCTTGTGGCAAAAGTAGAAATTTGGGTTTTAAAGCAAAAACTTGTTCATTTTCAAATAAAGAAAATTCAAGCAAAGCTAAAATGAAATCATTATTGCATATAAATGTAATGTATATGGATTCATAGATGTCTTTGTTAACTTTGTGTATTATGGAGCTTAAAATCTTACTTACACATAGTGTATTTAGTGACCTGTTTATCTGTTTTTTCAGTCCTGACTTTTTTGCTTTCAAACAATGAATTTTCTAAGAGGTATTCCATTTATTTGGTCATTCAATAACTATTCAACATCATTTATTTTACTGGTTGACTTTTTGTGAAGACTATTATAGGAATGGAACTGCTAGTCCATGTGGTGGCACTTGCCTGTAATCTCAGCTCTTGGGAAGCCAAGGCAAGAGAATCTCAAGTTTGAGGCCACAACTTATCAAGAGCCTATCTCAAAATTGTAAAAGAATCAGGGATATAATTCAGTGATAGAGTGCTTGGCTAGCATGTGTGGGACCTTGAGTTCAATCCCATTCCAGAAAGGCAAAAAAGTTTATTATGCGGGTGCTAAAGATCTGTCTTAATTATGAATAGTAAAATCAACTAATAAAATTTTAGCTTGCGGTTTGACCTTTTAAGAACCTGTGTGTAGGGCTGGGGTTGTGGCTTAATGGCAGAATGCTTGCCTATCATGTGTGGGTCACTAGGTTCAATTCTCAGCACCACATAAAAACAAATAAATAAAAATAAAACAACTAAAAAAACAGAACCTGTGTGTACTTTAAGGTTCATGAAAGTGGAGAACAAAAAAATCAGCATTATAGTTTGAATATGTATGTAACTAAAAGTGGTTACTATAAAGGAATAATGTGATTACAATCACTATTTAAGTAAAGCATAAGTGCCTTAGGTGGTGTAAGTGGTAAAAAGAGGGCCAGGATTATATATAAGAGGCTTAAGAACATCTCTGACAAAGTGACTTTTGAGGAGACTTGACAAAGTAGAGTATAATAAATTGTGATTGGTCTTATGCTATTTGTATCTTTTTTTTTTTTTTTTAAGGCTAGTGCTAGGGAATGGAACTCAAGGCCTCATGTATGCTAGGTACTCTGTCTTTAAATACTAATGACTTTAATGTTGAGATTCCTATTTTAAAAAGGGTAGGGTCTTCTAGGTTGCATTTACATGTCTTTACAAAAGTATCTTTTGTTTTTAAAATCTCTCACCCAGGTACTTGTTTTGGCTCCAACAAGGGAACTGGCAAATCAAGTAGCCAAAGACTTTAAAGATATAACTAGGAAACTCAGTGTGGCATGTTTTTATGGTGGAACATCATATCAAAGCCAAAGTGAGTACCTGTGCATGATAATAGTACAAAGATGCATTTGCTAAATGTAAAGGAATAATGTGAAGGCATATATTTGATTTTTACATATTACTGGCATTTTTCTCCTCTCACAGTTAATCATATTCGAAATGGTATTGACATCTTGGTTGGGACTCCTGGTCGTATCAAAGACCATTTGCAGAGCGGCCGTTTGGATCTTTCTAAACTGCGCCATGTTGTGCTTGATGAAGTGGATCAAATGTTAGATTTAGGTTTTGCTGAACAAGTTGAAGATATTATCCACGAATCCTACAAAACTGGTATATCCTAATTCAAAATAACCACATTAACAATTATTCTTTGATCTTAAAAGCTTATGAATTTTTAATTTTTTAATATATTGTCCCCTGGTATTCTAACAAAACTAAAGTTATTCAGTATCTATTTTCTTCTTGAAAAAAAAAAAAAGAACAATAGCATACTTTATTTTCTTAGCTTTCTGTGTCTTCTTTCATGTATTATTTTTTATAGTCATTAGTTAGATTTACTAACCCATTTTACTGATTTCTTTGTTCATTGTTTTTCCTTAAATTCTCACTTTTCTTCTGAGTTGAATTTTCTTGCTATTGTCCCCAGTTTTAAAAGGTGAAAGTTTCAATAGTTGCAATGCAGTCTATATGTTAAAAACTTTCCCCGAGTTTTGAATTTTTCATTATTTCTTTGAAGCCTGTGGTGATTTTTAAAAGTTGGCTACATCATGGGATATTAAGAAAACATTTGAATTCTTTTTGTTTATTTAAGATTCTGAAGACAATCCTCAGACTTTACTTTTTTCTGCAACTTGCCCACAGTGGGTATACAAAGTTGCAAAAAAATACATGAAATCCAGATATGAACAGGTTGACCTTGTTGGAAAAATGACTCAAAAGGCTGCAACTACTGTGGAAGTAAGTGGCTTTCCAGCATGATAGATTTTAGCTTTTAGTTGGTATTTATTTTTGAAAGTTTGTTAAAGCTAAACTCAAATTTTGGGGACCTGTTCAGGCCTAAGCTCTCTTTTCTGCCTTTAGTTAATAAGATACATAAGTATTTTTATAGTCTGAAACTGAGAAGCAGAATAGAATAAATAGGGGAAAAAAGCTTGTGAATAAGAAGTTCTAACAGAAGATCTACAAGCAGCCATAGAGACTGTATTTAGAATTCATGTGACAGAGAACACGATTCATAGAAAGGAAAAGTGCTGAGAAATGGGGTTGTGGCTCAGTGGTAGAGCGTTTGCCTCACCTGTATGGGGCACTGCATTCAATCCTCAGCACCGTATAAATAAATAAAGGTACTGTGTCCCTCTACAACTAAAGAAAATAAAATAAAAAGAATAGTGCTGAGATAGTTTGTTGAAGATTAGCTGAAGAAAGTTAGATCTTTACCTCATACCCAAAAAAAAAAAAAAATTCAGAAAGATTTTTAAAAATTGAGCTGTAGTAGAACTTTTTTTTTTTTTTTTTTTTTTTTTTAATTTTTAATATTTATTTCTTAGTTTTTGGCGGACGTAACATCTTTGTTTGTATGTGGTGCTGAGGATCGAACCCAGGCCGCACGCATGCTAGGCGGGTGCGCTACCACTTGAGCCACATCCCAGCCCCCCCTTCTTATTTTTGATTCATTTCAAATTGCAGAAATCAGTATACTTGCCCATAAGTATTTTAGCATGCATATCTTTAACTAGAGCATAATATTTTCATTTTTATAAAACTAAAGTAAAATTTACATAACTAAAACTATAAACTTTTTGGGTAAGGATGGGGACACAGTCCTTGGCTTTGTTGCCCAGGCTTGTCTTAAATTTTTAATCCTCTTGCCTTGGCCTCCCAAATAGCTAGGATTATATGCATGTGCCATTGTACTCAACTTAAAACTATAAATATTTAAATGTATAATTCATTGTCATCTAGTACATTTATGATGTACAACCATCACTTCTATGTAGTTCCAAAACATTTTACTCACACCAAAGGTAACCCCATAACCATTAAATAGTAATTGTTTTCTTTTCCAGTTCCTGGCAACCACCAGTCTTCTTTCTGTCTCTATGGATATGCCTGTTCTGAATATTTCATATAAATGTAATTATATATTATGTGACTTTTTATATTTCACTTCTTTCCCTTAGCATGTTTTTGAGCTTCTCCATATAATATTTATAGTTTTTCAGATAAGATTTATGTGTAATGAAATGAGTGTACACTTTGCTTAGTTTTTTTGAGTTTGTGTATGTAAACCAAACATTTATCAAGATATATTGCCAGGTGCAGTGGTACATGCCAGTAATCTCAGCAATTTGGTAGGCTGAGGTAGGAGAATTGCAAGTTCAAGACCAGCCTCTACAATTTAGCAAGACCCTATCTCAAGAATAAAAAGGACAGAGGGATGTGGCTCAGTAGTATAGTACCCCAAGGTCCAATCCCTAGTATCAAAACAAAAGGTGTTTTCATCATCTCAAAAAGTTCCCTCGTACTCCTTCCTAGTTCCCCCCAGTCCAGAGACAATCACTTCTGATTTTTTTTTCTACCATCGATTAGTTTTACCTATTCTAAAACTTCATATAAATGGAATCATACTGCATATACTCTTTCTCTGTAGGACTTCATTCACTCAGCATATTATTTAAGATTCATCTATATTTTTGTGTTATTAATAGTTGGTTCCTTTTAATTGCTATATAGTATTTTGTTTGAATATACTAAATTTGTGTATCCTTTCACTTATTGACCGCCATTTGTTTGTTTTTAAATGGGGTTGAGGAGAGTCTCTGTCTTACAGTCTCCCAGGAAGGCCAGTTCTTGACCAGGTAGAAAAAAATATACAAGATAATTTTTTTCCAACAATTTTGTCAAAACAGATATTTCACCTTTTCTTTCCTCAAAGCATTTGGCTATTCAGTGTCATTGGTCTCAGAGGCCGGCAGTTATTGGAGATGTACTTCAAGTCTATAGTGGTTCAGAAGGGAGGGCTATTATCTTCTGTGAGACCAAGAAGAATGTAACTGAAATGGCAATGAATCCACATATAAAACAGGTAAGTTTTTTTAAAACACTTTTTCTAATTGAGCTGATGAGATGAATAACTGAGGAAAAATATTGTCAGTTGGATAGTGGCACATGCCTGTAATCCCAGCAACTTGGGAGGCTGAGATAGGAGGATTTTAAAGTTCAAGGTCAGTCTCAGCACTTAGCAAGACCCTCAGCAACTTACTGAGACCTTGTCTTAAAATAAGAATGGCTGGATATGTAACTCAATGCCAAAGTGCCCCTGGGGGGTTCAACCCCCCAGTACCAAAAACAAATATAAATATATTTTGTCCTCTGGACCAAACTTGATATTGATAAGTCATTCTCAGAATTGTGACTAATTTAGAAAAATATCCAGCCTCTTATAACTTGTTAAGTCTGGACAAAATTTTTTTTAAATATTTTTTTAGTTGTCAATGGACCTTAAAATTTATTTATATGTGGTTTTGAGAATCAAACCCAATGCCTCACACATGACAGGTGAGCTCTTTACCACTGAGTCACAACTTCAGCCCCTAGGACAAAATTTTTTTAAGAAATAAATTTTATTGTGTGTATTTGAACTTTAACAATATGATGTTAGGAGAGAATTATGTCAGTTGTTATTAGGAATATTTTTTAAGGCTTTGTAAATGTGATCTAGAAAATATAAAGGTTGAAACAAAATTAATTTCTGTTGGTAAGAATGGATAATGTTTTAGAGTTGTGTTATAAGAACAAATTACAAATATTTATTGTATGAATACATTAATATAAATTGTATGTGTTTATCATCCAGCTTTATTATTTTATCTGAATGCTTGCTCACTTATTTCCTTCTCTAAAATTGTTTTGATGTAAGCTCTAGATATTATTACATTATAAATATTTGGGTAAATATCTCTTAAAGAAAAGGATTAGCACAGTGAATTGGAAGGATGGCAAGTTCAAGATCTTGTCTCAAAAAAATAAATAAAAGGGATGGGGATGTATTTCAGTGGCAAAGCCCACCCTGGTTTCAATCTCCAGTACGGGGG